TGGACCATTTCCTTATACCACACACAAAAATAGACTCAAAATGGTTGAAAGACCTAAATGTGAGACAGGAGTCCATCAAAATCCTAAAGGAGAACACAGGCAGCAACCTCTTCGACCTCAGCCGCAGCAACTTCTTCCTAGAAACCTCTCTTTTTTTTAAGATTTATTTATTTGAGAGAGAGAATGAGTGGGTGGGGGAGGGACAGAGGGAGAAGCAGACTCCCCACTGAGCAGGGAGCCTGATGTGGGGCTTGATCCCAGGACCCTGAGATCATGACCCGAGCCCAAGGCAACCACTCAACCAACTGAGCCAACTAGGCGCCCCCCTCTCTCTTTTTTTAATGAGTCTGGCTAAAGGTTTATCAATTTTGTTGATCTTTTCAAAGAACCAGCGCCAGGTTTCATTGATTGTTTTATTGGTGTTTGTTTCTATTTTGTTTCTGCTCTAATCTTTACTATTTCCTTCTTTCTGCTAGTTATGGGTTTTGTTTTTTCTTCTTTTTCTTGATCCTTTAGGTGTAAGGTTAGATTGAGATTTTTCTTGGTTCTTGAGGTAGGCCTGTATTGCTATAAACTTCCCTCCTAGAACAGCTTTTGGTGCATCCCAAAGAGTTTGGACCATTGTGTTTTCATTTTCATTTGTCTCCATGTATTTTTTTTATTTCCTCTTTGATTTCTTGGTTGACCCACTTATTGTTTACTAGCACATTATTTAACCTCCATGTATTTGCGTTCTTTTCCAGATTTTCTCCTGTGGTTGATTTCTAGTGTCATAGCTTTGTGGGTTGGAAAAAGACGCATGGTATCACTCCAAATTTTGGGGGGTTTTTTGCCTAATATGTGATCTATTATGGAGAATGTTCCATGTACACTTGAAAAGAATATGTATTCTGTTTTAGGGTGGAATGTTCTGGATATATCTATTAGATCCATCTGGTCTAATGTGTCATTCATAGCCATTGTTTTCTTGTTGATTTTCTGTTTGATCTATCCATTGGCGTAAGTGCATGTTAAAGTCTCCTACTATTATTGTATTACTATTGATTACTTCCTTTACATTTGTTATTAGCTGCTTTATGTGTTCCCATGTTTGGTGCACAAATATTTACAACTGTTACGCTTTGTTGGATTGTTCCCTTTATGACTATGTACCTATCCTTCTTTGTTTCTTGTTATAATCTTTTGTTTTAAAGTCTATTTTGTCTTACACAAGTATTACTACCCTGGCTTTCTTTTCACACCTATTTGTATGATAAATGCTTTTTCATCCCTTTACTCTCAGTCTGCATATCTTTAGGTCTGAAATGAGTCTGTTGTAGGCAGCCTATAGATGGGTCTTAATTTTTTATCTAATCCATCACCCTATGTCTTCTCATTGTTTAGTCCATTTACATTCAAAGTAATTACTGACAGGTAAGTATTCACTGCCATTTTGTTACTTGTTTTATGTTTGTTTTGTAGTTCTTCTCTGTTCTTTTCTTCCCTTGCTCTCTTCTCTCATGATTAATTGGCTTTCTTTGGTAAGATACTTGGATTCTTCGTCTTTATTTTTGCCTATTACCACTTTTTGATTTGTGGTTACCATTAGGTTATATATAACACCTTATGCATACAGCAGTCTATATTAAGTTAATGGTCACTTAAATTTGAACCCTTTCTGAAAACACTAAATTTTGGGGTGCCTGGGTGGTTCAGTTGGTTAAGCAACTGCCTTCGGCTCAGGTCATGATCCCAGAGTCTTGGGATCGAGCCCTGCACCGAGCTCTCTGCTTGGCAGGAAGCCTGCTTCTCCCTCTCCCACTCCCCCTGCTTGTGTTCCCTCTCTCAATCTCTTTGTCAATTAAATAAATAAGTAAAATCTTAAAAAAAAAGCTTTAAAAGCACTAAATTTTTATTCCTCTCTTCCCCACATTTTAGGTAGATGGTATCATACTTTTTACATCCTTTCATTTTGTGAATCCATTGATGGATTTTTTTTTAAAGGTTTTATTTATTTATTCATGAGAGAGAGAGAGAGAGAGAGAGAAGCAGAGGCAGAGGGAGAAGCAGGCTCCCCACCTAGCACGGAGCCCGATGCGGGACTTGATCCCAGGACCCTGGGATCGTGACCTGAGCCGAAGGCAGACGCTTAACCATCTGAGCCACCCAGGCGCCCCTTGATGGATTTTTTTTTTATAGATATACTTAATATTACTGCTTTTTTGCTTCCTACTTTTCTTAATCCTGCTTATGGTCCTTCCTTCCCACTCAAAGAATCCCCTTTCACATTTCTTGTATAACTGCTTTAGTGGTGATGAATTCTTTTGTGGATCTGCAAAAGTCTTTCTCTCTCCTATTCTGAATAATAGCCTTGCCAGATATTGTTGGTTGTAGGGTTTTTCCCCTTTCAGCACTGTGAATATATCATGCCACACTCTTCTGGCCTACCAAGTTTCTGCTGAAAGCTCAGCTGGTAGTCTTATGGGGTTTCCCTTTCATGTAACTATTTTCTTTTGCTGTTTTAAAAGTGCTCTGGGGTGCCTGAGTGGCTCAGTCATTAAGCATCTGCCTTCGGCTCAGCTCATGATCCCAGCGTCCTGGGATCAAGCCCCGCATGGGGTTCCCTGCTCCACGGGAAGCCTGCTTCTCCCTCTCCCACTCCCCCTGCTTGTGTTCCCTCTCTTGCTGTGTCTCTCACAAATAACATCTTTAAAAAAAAAAAATGCTCTGAAGATCACTACTTTTTGCCATTTTAATTACTATGGGCCTTGGTGTGGGAATCTCTTGGTTGATTTTGCTGGGGCCTCTCTGTGCCTCCTGGATCTGGATTTCTGTTTCCTTCCCCAGATTCAGGAAGTTTTCTGCTTTTTCTTCAAATTTTCTGCCCCCTTTTCTTTCTCTTCCTCTTCTGGGGTCCCTATAATGTTATTATGCTTGATGGTGTCACTGAGTTCCCTCATTCTATTCTGTTCCCTTTTTTCTCATATTCAGCTCCATTGCTTTCCGTTACTCTGTCCTCCAGGTCACTGATCTGTTCTTCTCCTTCCTCTGTTTATTCCCTTTAGTGTATTTTTAATTTTAGTTATTGAGTTCTTCATCTCTGACTGGTTATGTTTTCTATCTCTTTGTTGAGGGTGTCACTGAGGTCTTCCACTCTTTTTGCAGGTCCAGTTAGCATCTTTCTTACCATTATTTTAAATTCTTCATCAAGCATATTATCTCTGTTCCACTTAGATCTCTTGTTGTGATTCTGTCCTGTTCTTTCATTTGGGACATGCTCCTCTGTCTCCTCATTTTGGCTCTGTGTTTGGAAATTCAGCTATGTCTGCTGCTCTTGAAAGCAGTGGCCTTAAGAAGGCGAGGTCCTGTAGTGCCCTGCGGTGCAGTGTCCCTTGTTCACCAGAACCTGGCGCTTCAGGGGTGTCTCGTATGCGTGTTGCTGTGCCGTGTTCGCCTCCAGTCGAAATGGCTCTCTGTGCCTACTGTGGGTAGGGTTTGGTCCCTGTGCTGTTAGCGGGTCTGTCTGGGGCTTGAGTTGGGTCAGACCAGACTACTACTGGGGCCACAGTTGAACTAGTCTGTGTGGGTTTCTTCCCCTCTCCCTGCAGCAGGAGTCACTTTGGGGTGGTGCCACCCAGGCGCCCTGAAGTCCACTGATTTTTCAAGTTCCAGGTTATAAGCCCCACTGATTAGAAGTTAAACCTCTCTGTTTTTCAAAGCCAAATGTTATGGGGATTTGTCTTCCTGGTGTGGGGTCTGCTCCTTTCCCCTCTCTGCGCCTGTCCCTCCCTACCATGGGCAGCCCTGCAGGTCCGTCTGGCTCCTTCGTGGTGTCTATGCCCTTCCTACCCTCTTGGATGCGGCATGTATGTACATGCTTTCAATAAATTTGCAAAACTTCTAGCCATTGCATTTTCTAGTTTTTTTTCCTGTCCCACAAGAATTTTTTCTACCCAGAGACAATATGAAGGGCAGACAACAGTGTAAAATGCTGTTAGGAGAAAATTCTTAACCCAGGATTCTATAGCCAGTGAAGATACTCTGCAAGAAAGAAGGCAAATACATTTTCAGATAAGGTAAAACTAATCGAATTCATTCCTGGTAAACCTGTAATGCAAGAAGTGCTCTTCAAAGACAGAATTTCACTTAGAACTCTATTTCCTAGTGTTAAGCCCCTTGCCTCTAATGGTTGTATTGTGTTTCTCTCTGTTAAGGAACTTAAGAGGCTGCATCTCACCTGAGAAAAATATTCTTCTGAGATGCGTCCGGCCCACTCAATGCACTGCTCCAGGGGTCGGCAGGGATTGGACACATCTGCGCATTTAATCAGCATTCGTTTAATCAGAGTCCGGTTCTCTGGAGTCCTGAGCATAGTGTTTATGGCTTCTTCATCTCTATTCACTTCCTAAAACATGAGAGAACACAATCAAAGTGGGTTCCCTGGTACTAAGCCCTGTCTTACAGGTGTGGCCCCCACTGGACATACAGTAAGGCACTGACCAGGATCTACAAGTAAGGCGTTTCACGGACCAGTGAGGAGTATAATCTGAGCACTGAGCTCAGCCCCTCACTTGACAAAAAGGAAAACCAAGGTCCAGTGAGATTCCAGCAGGACCCAAGAGTAGAGGGTAGCACTCGAGATTGTCGTTTTGCCCCTCCCCTCTTCTTGGTTCTTTTCTTCCCACTCCAGATATTTCTCACAGTTGCTTTTTCTTTGTTCTATTGCTACTGCTCTCCCTTGGGACATGAGCAGTATCTTTTTTATTCCTACTAAAAAAAAAAAAGTGTGAACTGTAAACATAAAAGGTTTCTCTTCTCTTTCACCAAAAGGAACCTTGTGGTGCACCAGGCTCCCCGCTTTGCACAACCCAACCCCTAACCCAGTCCCATGATAGGTATGATCTTGAGAATTAGCTGTCAGCGTACCCAGATTTGTCAGATACAGTGATACTTAACAGTCATTCTCTTTTGATCTTCACTCACAAAGATTTATGGTAGGCACGGGAAGCAGTATTATGTACTACTGTATTTTATACATGAGGACACTGGGACTCAGAGAGGTGAAAAGACTTGTCCAGAGCTACCCGGCTGAGCCAGGATAAGAACTTCAGGTCTACCTTTAGTTGTGGGCTCTGTCTATTCATAGTACCACATACTGTCTGGTTTAAAGGAGCGTCACTGGTATGGATTCTCAACCTGTGGTATAACGGACCTGGTGGTTAAGCCCTCTGAAGCAAATTCAGGTTGGAAGAGGGAGTACCAGGACAAAGAGCATGGTCAGAGACCGCAACAAGCTAGTCTCCTTATGCTTTCCAAAAAAGTCAATCATGCGGTTCCACTGAGTAATCACAATGATCTAAAACGGCCTGATGGTCCCATCTCAATGAGGACAGATATGCCATTAAGATGGGCGTATGCCCATCCAGAGCCCAGGCTGCCTATTCTCCTGGAGAGTGCCACAGTGGACATGACCAAGGCTGCCTTGATAGGTCTCCTTGCCCCAAGTTTCCTACCACCAACCAGCTTTGTGTTGACTCTTCTCTCTTCAGCTGTGTGACTACGGTTCAGTCCTGCTAGCTGTAAACTTTAACTTTCACATTACTTTGTCCCTCCTCTGCTCACCAGACTGATTTCCAGTCTCAGAAGTAACCCCAAGTACTAACAGCTGAGAGATGTGACTTTCAAGTGGAACAGAATCAACCCCAAGTACTAGCAGATGAGCGATGGTACAGAATCCTCAGCTTGAGTCTGGGACCTGCCCAGACTTGATGGAAGAAACCAAGACTGTGGCATGGAGTTGGCCAGGAGCAGTGGCCTGGTTGACATCCAAAAGGTTGGTGGTGTGGGTGCTTCCACACTGGAAGTCCTTGGAAAGGAAGCGAAGTCAGAAGCAGGTTGACAAACTGAGAGAACAGGGTGGGTGAAGGAAGCAGAGTTCTCAGTGGGTTTAAAATCAGGTTAAAGAGGAACAAGTGTAAAGGCGGTAATAAGCTAGAAAGCCAGGGACAAAGGCCAGGGCCAGATGAGTTGCGGGAGTCAAGTGGGGTCAGAATTCAAGGAATGGTAATCCTAGCCTCATAGGATAAACCATCGCTGTGCCTAGTAAAGACTCTCAGGATGGTGACAGGAGCAGGGGGTAGGGGCGAAGGCTGTGGAAAAGACTGTGAGCTGGTGCCAAGATGTTCAGTGTATGTGGGGGAGGTGGTAGGGCCTCAGAGGAAGAGGGTACATGAAAATACATGCTGTAGGTGCTGATCTCATGCTGAATCTAGTATAACAGGTGCCATTTATTCAGTGCCTACCTTGTCCCATGCCCACCAGTCCTATGCCTTCAGCTTTATTCTGCCCATTCTACAGACAAGGAACTGGGGAAGCACAACTGGGATGGAACTCAGATCCATCTGCTGCCTTAGCTGTGGTCTCCTGCCTGGCCAGAGGTTTAATGTCCTTGCCAGGCAGTCATTGTGGACTCCAGGCCTCAAATCCAGAAATGATGTCCAACAATAATGTCACCCTTGGGACCAAAATACAGGGTCCTTCTCAACCCCCCACCCTCCCGTGACAGAGACCAGCATAGCTGCCACAGCATGTGCACAGTGGGGAGTAGGTGGGGGAGACCTCAAGGGCTCCAACTGACCCCAGGATGCCCAAGAAGACGGGGAGGGAAGAGTGTGAGAATGCACAGGAATGGTCCACCCAACCTAAAGTTAGTTGCAGAGTTTCCACATCTACTTTTGGAGGTCTTAATTTTTTCCTGACAGGTTCGTGTACTTTAAATAACTTTTCAACCAATGGAAATTAAATCCAAGGAACTACTGGGAAGTCTTCCACAGCTCATCACATCTTACCCTCTGTTTCCCCGCAAGACACAGGGATAAGGGCCCCAAACAGAGGCTCTCCTTACAGTCGGTCTTCCTTACCCCATTTACTTCGAGTGCTGCCAGGGGCTTGTTGATGCTGTTGACAAATTTGTTGACGTGCTCGAAGTGCTTTGTCATTTCTGTGGCTAAGACCATGTCGATAATAGCCTGGCGCAGCGTCCGATAGTCATTCCTGTTTCAGACGACAAACGAGAGGGTGCTACAGAGGACTCATCCAGACCAGACAGGTACTCCTGGAAACCGTCTCTTCTCTAGGATAGCACCCACTGTGGTAAAATTCTAATGTGACAGGAAGTCACAAGAAACACTTTAAAACAAGATCATTAGCAAGGGGAACCTGAGCAGAGGCTAAAATCGGGAAGCTTGTGGGCACGACTTTACAGATGCAATGTTCATCATTCTGTAGCATAAAGCACACAGCTCTTAGAATAAGAGAACATAGCAGGGGTGAACAAAGGCAGAGATCTGTGGTTATGAAGAATGTACCCCCTACAGAGGAACCCTGAGATTCAACAATTTCAGTGCCCAGAAACTTAGAGGGTAGCTTCCGACAGCTGAGAAGCTCACAGGGAATACTTGTGTACCTCTTCCTCCAGTCCTTGTTTTTATTCAATCATTTTGTGACATTTCTCTCTGTCCAACCCCTTCTCCAGTCACCCCATTGCTTTCCCTGGACACGACCCAGGTTACCAGGGTCTTGTGTATTTTTCCAGAGCTAACTGATGTCTATACCAGCAACTATGAATAAAACCTACTGAAATTCCAGAACATGGCAAAAGGAAGTTTTCCAAATTAATGTCTTCCACCTGATATTTATGAAGTCCCTCTCATGGTCCAGGCACCATGCTAGACACTGAGGATACGGTGATGAACAAAGGGCAGTGGCTACTTACAGAACTTAAGAATCAAATCAGGCATTAGCCAAGTAATGAAAAATGATGATGTAAATATGTGACAAGTGCTGTGAAGGAACCTGGCACTGAGGGGTCAGGGGAGGCTTCCTCAAAGTAACATTTGAACACTGACACTGCCGAGAAGCGTGCTGGGCCCAGGAGGGCAGAGTGGAGTGTTTGGAGCAGAGCTGGAAGATGACAGCTTCTCTGAGTCTCGAGAAGCTCAGATGTCAGCATTACACTTTGCCACCTCGAAATGCCAAGACATAGAAGAGCTGAACCTTGAAAGCATCGTGCTAAGAGAAAGGAGCCAGTCACAAAAGACCATTAGGGGTGCTCCCATTTATTAGGAAATGTGCAGAACTGGCAGATCTATGGGGACAGAAGGCGCACCCACGGGTGCCTGTGGCTGGGGGGATTCTAGCAGGGACCGGGAAGTGACTGCCAACGAGTCTGAGGTGCTTTGTGGGGGAGGATGGTTCACTGCGGTGATGACCGCACCGCTCTGAATAGCCTGACAACCACCGTACACTTGAAATGAGAGAATTCTCAAGTCCGTGGGTCGTATCTCAAAGTTGTTAGAGGGACCAGCATGCTCCCCTACTCAGCGCTCTCACCTCTCCATGTTCTTGAAGATATTGCATTTGTCATCTCGGGTGGTCAGCTGGAAAGCCAGGGCCGCATGATGGCTCTCCAGCACAGCAGTGTCATTATACAAGATGGCCAGCTCACTTCCAGCATTGCACAGGAACGAGTTGGTTCGCCCAGGGTGGTCCACGTCGTGGACGGTGGCTGCAATAAGCGCGGCGACCTCATCGACCGGATCTAAAGTTTGCTGCAAATGAGAGAGCTTGTAAAAACGGGGGCTTGGCCCTGAAAGCAGGGAAGCCTTCTAGAGAGTTTCCTTGCTGCCCCATTACTTTGAGGGAAAAATATCCCAGATTTCGGAGAAAAGCATAGTGTTGAGCAAATCCAGTTTCCCTACATCCGCTGAAAAACAGTTGCATGTTTGTGCTTGTTAACGAGAGAACATTATCTGATTCCCGGTCTCACACAAGTTAAGGACTTACCCAAATACGAGGTGTCCTCAACAGACAGGAGTCACCTCCTCAGCCAGTCTGGCTCTAGACCCATCACAAAAAGTCTGAGATACTGACTTGGACCAACGTAAACCAGTATTATTGAGAAATAATTTAAAATGTGCATCATTTACGTTAACAGGGTTGGTCTAGTGTTTCCCTCCCTTTTACGATCTTTGTCAGGCGGATGTCAGGGTTTTGTGAGTTTGGTAAAATAATCTGGAAGTTCTCCATCATTTTCAAGTCTCTGAAAAGGTTTATGTAACTTGGAAAAATCCCTCAAGGGGCTGAAGAACTCACTGATGATCTGAGTCAGGAGCCAGATTATGAAGAATTTTGTTGACAGGTTAAGAACTACTTCCGCGGTACTGACCTCTTGGTTTCCTATTTCTAGTATGTGACGTAAAACATTTCACCTTAAGGCTTTTAAGTTAGTACAGAAGTGTCTGGCACCTTCTTCTTTCTGTATTTCTTGATTAGTTTGGCTAGAATTTAATTTTCTTGGTTATTTCAAAGAACCATTTTGGATTATCATTTGGTCTTCTCATTCTATAGGTCTTAATATATTGATTTCTCATTGTGTTGATTTCTTAAAATTATTTAAAATGCTCTGCCCACCTGCCATGGCCCTGTAGGGCTGTCCCCAGGTGCCAGGACACCGGGCAATGACACAGCACTGTCTCCCCCCTCAAGAAGCCCTGTTCTTAGATACAAAACCCATGGTTGGATCCTTCTGCTCTTGAGTTCTGAAACTGAAATGGTGATGCCATGGAACTCCCTGGACCCTCTGAGCCATTTTATGATGGATGTTGATGGAAAGAACACAAATACTTTGGCAGATCCGTGCAAGTCTAGTTGCTGCTTTGAAAATTTCCCTAATGAAGACATTTACAACGTGAAAAGCTTTCTTAGGAACTTGGTTTGGGGGTGGGCAGTGAGTTACATTCCTCGACTGGAACCTTTCTTCTGTGAAGCTCTCCGTACTATAACCTCTTTTCATCCCCCTTTCTTGCCGCCTCAAAGCTAGACGTCAAGCTGCCAGGCAGCGCCCAGGGGGGCTCTGAGCCAGGTGTGACTGGCCACCAGTAGGGCCAGGGGCCCCTGCACTGAGTCAGCAGAGGACAGACCTGCTGTGCAAATGCAGTCATCTCAGGAGCAGGCCCACGTGGAGGGGACACACAGAAAAGGGGTATCGAAGTCCATACCGGGGGTGGGGGGAGGGTAGTCCAGGCAAGTCTCCCTGGAGGAACAAAGGCTGGTACGGATCCCTGAAGGACAGGTGGGGACACAGGGAAGCCAGCAGCAGCAAAGGCAACAGCAGACCAAGGGCAGGGGTGCCAGAAACCTCAGTGGTTTAGCACGGCCACACGGGGCCTGTGTGTCGGGAGCTGTGAATCACCCTACTGCGGAGTTTAAGTCCGGTAGGAGGTGGGAAGCCGCTCCTGGGAACAGCATGGTCAGATGTGCTGTTTCAGAAAGCTCGTGCTGGCGGCAGTGTGGGGGAGTTCCGCGGGGGGCTGGACGGGGGGGCAGGAGTGCTCAAGTGGTACCAGGGAGAGGAGAAAGCAGGGCCCTCACTAGGACGGCTCAAGGGCATCATGAGGTGGAGGTAATCCTGAGGACACTGGGGGCCCCGGTAGGCAAGGTCCCAGGACCTACTGGATGACACGGGCTTGGGGAGAGGAGAGAACAGAAAATGCTTCCAGGTTTCTGACCTGGGTGTCCTCTTGGCTGGTGGAACTCCGGCCTCGGGGCCGGCAACCCCAGGCGGAAGCAGAGCTGGCCAAGGATCAACTTGGCCTCAACCCCTGCTGACACTGAGGGATGGGGTGAGTATAGGGGCACCTCATTCAGACTTAGGTGCTCTGCAACAGTCAGGGCTGTTCTTCTGGGGTCTCACTCAAAGCCTACAGACAAGTTGCAGTCAACTGTTCTGGCCGGTTTTCTCCGTGGGGACCAATCCGCTCCTTACACTCCCACAGAAGGGCGGGGCTCACGTCATGAATTGACCTATCGAATCCGCAGAGCCGCAGCTCAGCCTCCTGCCCAATCCCCCATGCGGCCGCACCCTCCGCGGGGCCAGGTGGCCCACAGGTGGGGACCCCTGGGCAGTGGCCCTGCAGAGCACCTCGGTGGAGGCGGAGGCCGCAGCCCATCCCACCACTCCTGCCCGCTAAGCATGGTGCACACACGCAGCTCACCTTTATCCTCTCTTTGCAGAGAAAGTAGGCAGTGGCGTGAAGCACGTCGGCAGAGTGTGTCGAGTTGTGGTAGGGGTTAGAAGAGTGGTAACTGGCTTCAATGATCTGTAACCACGATCTCAGCGTCGGCTCGGAGCAGTTCAAGAATTCACAGATTCCGAAGCGAGCAAACATTTTGAGACCAAGATAAATCAAAGGCCTACAGAGAAAAACATGCACAGCCTTAAAACAAAGAAACGGGCCCAGTGTTGGGAGCCCTGAATAGGTTCAGACCCAACCGGCAAAGCGGAGCCAGCCTTCAGAGAGCGTGTGGGCAGCGAGGGAGCCTGCCCGAACAGTGCCGGGTGGCCCTTTCTCCCGGTAGCCACCACCCAGTGCCGGCTCTCTGTCCGTGTTCTCCACGGGCTGGGGTGAGGTGTGCTCGCCACCCCCTTCCTCATTCAGACTTCTACTTGCACCAGTAGATTCCTCAAAATCAATGTAATGCCAGGCTTGAACCCTTGCCTCACCTTTGCACTCGCTGGACCTATGTAATTGGCCAGATGTCCGGTCTAGAAGCAAGTAAGAGTTTCTGAAGGTGGCATTATGAGCCAGACACCGTCACCTGTCATGTAACGGTCTCAGTAATCTGAAGGTGGGTGCCGCAGCATGAGGCCGTTTCCCCTGAGAAGGTGACCAACAGGCCACCAAGTCAGGCCCTTCCTTGAGAAGTTACCTTGATCCGGCATCTGGCCTTCAGCTTGGAGAGTCAAGAGATAGCCGTGCTGAGGCAGCATCCAGAGGCCATCTGGCCCACAGGGCTCGGACTGACCTGCCCTGGCCTGCCTCCCATGAATGCAGCGTCACTAACCTAGAAGCCAGGTGTTCGAAGGTTCATGTGCTTTCGGAGGATCCTTTCTACTGTCCTTGCCCACGTGGGGTACATGGAAACAGAAGACACTAGAAGGCTGACTCCTGGTGAGCATGCCTGAAGGGCAGGGCTGTCTTGGGGACAGACCGGAAGGAGGTGTGAAGAGTTAGTTATCCCATAGGCCAACAGAGCACACCTCTCCCGCAGCTCTGGGCCTGGCCACCACCTGACAGGGCAGCCTTCTCTGTGTGCCAAGTCAACTACACCTCTGTGGCCAACTGTTCTTTTCCAGAGAGGCACAAATCAGAAGGTAAAAATCCCAATCCCACCCTCACTCTGTGAGCACACCCAGATCAGGATGACCGGAGTTTTGGGTGGCTCTAGGCCTGTCACCAGCACAGCAACTGAGATCTGGGGACAGCTCTTAGCAAATGTGTCTGTTTGTGTATTTCTAATTTTTAGTTCTATCCTCTGAGTGGGACTCTGTGCCGCTGTCTCAACATATTACCACCTACAGAAGAAACTAATATCCGTATTTTATAGGAGAAACCGGAGCCACCTGGAGAAGGTGAGTCACTTGCTCAACTTCCCACTTGCCCTGAGTCTGCTGTCTCTGCAGGAGTGCCGACCTGGCCGCCCTCCCTGACCCCTTGTAGGCCCAGGCCGTCAGGGGCACCTGCTGCCCAGCTCCTCTTTCCAGAGCCTCCCTCCCTGACCAGGCACGGGCTCTGGAAGAACCACACTCCTTGGATGGCTTTTTCCACAGAGGCCCTCAGAGCTAAGCTGTGTGTCTGCCAGGCTGCACGTGGACTCACCTTTTATGTGTGGCAGCCTCCAGTTCAAATATATTAAAGTCCCAGTACTCCTCGTTTTCCATGGCCCGAGCTATCCGTGGGGGGACGTCGTGAAGGGAGATGGGGGCGTTTATACTGCTGGGCATCTGCTGAAGATCTGCAAAGGGATGTGGTTTGGAGAACAAAGTTAATAGGCTTTATAGTATTTACTGCTTCGGGGGACAGCTACTTTGTGCAGTTTTTAGGACATACCAAGAAACTTGTTACTGATGAGAAAAATTAACTGAAAACTTGACTGGAAAATCTGTTTTCATCATTTCAGTGTCACTATAATATTAACAGTGCTCCAAAAAATTAAAAAGTTCAAACTTACTTTTTGTTGAAAGAACATACTCATTCCCGGATAGTCTTCGCAAACCATCCTGATAAAAATCAAGGAAACAAGAAAAAGAGAAGTCATAACTATTCTTGACTTCTGGAAAACGGTGGGACAGTCGGTCCCCGAGGAGAGCTGAGGGCAGCCTCTCCACCAAGGCCCCCAGAGTGCCCCTGTGGGCAACCACTGGACTCAGTTACCTGGCGCAGAGGACACAGATTGATGCCGGGAAAACTGGCTAAGCTCAGGGGCCGCACCAGCGAGGTGAGCTTGCTTGAGGCCCCAGAGACCAGCATTGCTGGGGTCCTCAGCGCTGCTTCGGTGTCTCAGGGACAACTGGCTTCTCCCCTCAAGCCTCCCCCACCATTTTCTTGCCACCCTCCTTGCCACGATGGACATCAGCTTCCTCTGGGAAAGTGGATTCTTCCTGACCTTGCACACACACCCTGAGCCCTCTTGCTGCCTCTCAGGGTGAGAGCCCTCCCAGACCACTGCACGAGCCCCTAGCAGCCCCTCCCTCCCACCTTTCTTCTCTTCCCCCCTCACCCCATGACATGATCCCACTCCACCCCCCATCATCTTCACCCCTCACCTACGAGCTGGAGGTGCCTGTGCTTCAAATAGGCAAGATCATGGTTTGACATTACCATCCCTGGGAACCACTCTACCCTGCAGATTACTGCCTAAAACCTTGTTTTTAAGAAACCAAGTGAACTTCAGAGAGCAGGCACTGGGAGGAGAGGGGAGTTTTTGTTGGTTTTTTTTTTTTTTTGGTGCTGGTGAGGTGAATTTTACTTCTGACCAAGACAAGAAGTGACGGACAGTGATAGAATGATTTGTTTCCCACAAAGTTGTTCTTCCCCTGTGAGACCACTCTGCTACATGGGCTGGAAGCCTCCAGGACCCCTGAGAGCCCATGGTCCGAAGCCACCAAATCTGTGCAGGATGTTCTGGAAGGAAACCGTGCCCCATCCCCTGGTGCCTCTTTAAACATATGTAGTCTTTCTGGTTCGTCAGCTGGTAGGAAACATTTCATATATATACTTTTTTCTGCCCTAGTTTTCAAAATCTTTAAAATAATTAAGTTTTGCTTAAATTCCTCATAGGATCCCTAAGCAAAAATGGAGAGCCCAGCCCAGCAGACTGTCTAGAATATGCTCTTCCCTTCTCTGCTTTGAGCTGAGGTCTCCCTGGGCAGCAGGCAACAGGGGGGTGACGGCTCTGGCCAGAAAGCAGTGGAGCCGGGGTGATGGCAGGGTGCAGGCCAGCCCATAAACAAATAACCTCTGGGAAAACAGACAAGAACAGAAGACTCTAGCCAGCAGCCTGGTCAAATGTACTTACAGACATTAAGCCCCCAACAAGGTCATTGGCATGAGGATCATCATCCTTAGCACCAAACTGTGGTGAATATAATTCAGTGGTTCTTAGAATTTCCAGGACACGGTCTAAGGCTTCTGTCACAGCCATGGGGCTGCTTTCCTGGGCAGCATTGATAATGTTGATTACCTACAACATGGAAAGAAGACGTGAGTTTCATAACCTTACAAACAGTGGGAGAGCGATCCAGAGGGGCAGGCTGGCCACAGTGCTCCAGGCTAACTTAAGACTAGCCTCAGTGTTCAAGTCCCACACCCTCTCTCTTTAGAGAGGGCCACTCCCTACAACTAGGAGAGCATTATCATCGTTGCAGGCCTGTTTCCTCTCACTAGAAACACTCAACCCCGAGAGCCAGGGCCTTCTGTGCGGGCTTGGTGGAGACCGTCCACAAACTGCTCCACCTTGGTGATGGGCGCCTCGATCGTCATGGAATGTATCCGGGCCATGGAGGAGTGTCGCCTCTGGCTGCCAACTGTGGGGAGACCACATGACGCAGAGATCAGAGTATGTACGGCCCCAGGCACCTGTTGACAGCTGAGGGCTCCGGGCCCTCCCTGGCTCCCCCCACCTCCCCCAGGGCCTCCGTGGGCCCAGCTGCACGATGAAGGGGCAGGACCGGAACTGCGTGTCCACAACGGCTGCCACCCCATCCCAACAAGCCTGGGGTTTGGGCAGAACCAACTGTGCTTCCTTCAGTCCTAGGCACTAGGATGCACGTGCCCCACCAGACTGGACTTCTGATGTCACAGGCCAGAGAAAAAACAGAGGAAACAATCTAGCAAGTCAAGGCCAAACAGTTAGCCTCTTTCTGCGTTTATAACAATAAGGCTTTTAATATTCAGCTTGCCTCTATCTAGGAGCAAAAATGTTCTGGAAGACAATGCCACACAGGCTCTTTGTCTTATATATGTCAGGAGCAATAAACACAATTCCCCCTTAACCGAAATACATGAGTTTTTGTTTAAATTTCTCAAGGCAGCTTTTGGTGCTCTCCACAGTGATGCTTAATCTACACCAATGAGGGAAACCCCTCACATGAGACAGGAGGCAACTCTTGGGCTCTGTCTGAAGTTTGTTCATGTTCTGGTGCCCCTGTCAAGATACGGTTCCTCTGGGGTAAAGTGAAGGCCGGGCAGTGTGCAGGCAGGAAAAAAACATACACATAGAGTTCTGTGTGTCTCCCTGAAAGCCCCACTGTCAGGCCAAATGCTGTTTACCACAGACTGTTCCACAGCCTGATACATCAGCCTTGGTTCACCAAACTGAGGTCTAAGGAGAAGCACGGGGCAAGATGAACCAACTCAGGGGCTCTTAGGTACTTTAAATTTTGGGGACCCACAACACTCCTTACATCTGATTTTGGTGACCAGCATATGGTTGCCAACTTTCCATTCTACCCAATGAGGTCATTAAACCAAAAATAAAATCCACTGTTTTATCACTAATCATAAGAGGACCTGTTCTCATTTAAAAAATGTCATGAAAGTGACATATGCTTATAAAAAATGAAACCAGTATAAATAAAGTAAGAAGAAGAACTACAGGGCATAAAGGCTGCCCTATACGCAGAAAGTCCAAAGGAATTTATAAATACTACTCTGACAACCAACGAGCAAGTTTATCAAGGTTACCGGGTACAAGGCCAGCTCTAGTTCTATAAACTAGCAACAAACAATTAGAAATTGAAATACAAAACACTATTATGAAAGCACCAAACCCACCAATATTTAGGAATATATGTAAGAAAAGATGTGTAGGATTTACACACTGAAAATGCAAAACGCTGCTGAGAGAAAACAAAAGCCACCTGAAGGGAGACACAGAAGGCATCCATGGTTTGAAAGATTCAGTATCATTGAGATTTCCATTTCCCCTAAACCCATCTATAGATTCAAGACACTCCCAGATGCAAGCCCAGGAGGTGGCGTGTGTGTGAGTGAGCTAACAAGCTGATGCTAACTGCTGTATGGAAACACAGAGGGCCTAGAATGGCGAAGACAAGCGTGAAGAACAACTTTACGCTACGAGATAAGAAGGCTTACTGGAGAGGATGTGGCAATCAATAGTGGTATTGGTGCACGTGCAGACCGACAGAACAAGGAAAACCGAAGAGTCCAGAAAATGACCATATATTTATAGTCACCTGATTACAATAATGGCGCTGCTGCAAAAAAAAATGGTTTTTTCAATATGGTGGTGGGCCAACTGGACTTCCACGTGGGGGGAAAATTCATCCTTGATCCCTATCCTCACCAGATATAAAAATTAATTTGAAATGAATCATAGACCTAAGGTGAAAGATAAAATAAAGCTTCTCCAAGAAAACACAGGTGAATATCTTGACCATGGGTGAGAGAAAGATTTCTTGAACAGGACACAAAAAAGCACCAGCTTATAATAGAAAACACTGATAAAATGAGCTTTATTAAAATTAAGAACTCCTGTTCACATTAAAGACCATCAAGAGAGTGAAAAGCAAACCAGAGACTAACAAAATATATTTGTGATGCATGTAATCCAACAGGATCCATATCTAGAATATATAAAGAATTCCTACAAACCAGTGAGATAAACAGCCCGATTATAAAAACAGGCAAGATATCTGAACAGCACTTCAAAAGAGAACGTCCAAATGGTCCGTAAACAGATGAAAGGGGTACTCCACTTCATTCGTCATCAGGAAAATTAAAATTAAAACCATATCCACCAGGATGGCTGAAATTTGAAATGCCGAGATACCCAAGTGTGGGAGGTTGCAAAGCAACGGGACTACTCACACATCAGCAGTGGGCAGGAACGTGGGACAACACCTTGTGGACAGACGTCTGCAGCTGCCCAGAGGCCAGCAATTCCACTTCTAGGTATGACAGGAACGCATAAGAACATTCATGCAGCCTTACTCTTACCAGCCCCAAAGTGGGAAGAGAACACAGATGCCCATGAATGAGAGAATGGATCAAGGGCAGCACATCCCTCCAGCAGGGGACTGCACGCAGTAGAAAGGACGAACTCCTGGCACGTCTAACCACACAGAGGGATCTCAAGAACGCTGAGGGAAAGAAGTCAGACGCTGGGCGTGCAGGCCGTATGGTTCCATGTCTTCGAAGCACAAGAAGAGGCCAGATAGCCTGACAGGGCTGGAAATCTAGGGGCTGCCTCGATGTGGTACAAGGTGTGTGTGTGCATGCGTGCGTGCGTGGTTTCTGTATCTGCTTTGGATGGTGGTTACCCGAGCTCATGGAACTGTCCAAACTCACAGAACCGAATACTTAATACCTGAATTTCACTGTGGGTAAATTAAACTCAGTTAAAAATAGTGATAAAAAACCAGAGACATGCAGAGCCTCAGTGGCTGCGCGGTTGGGCGGCCCACTCTTGATTTCGGCTCAGGTCATGATCTGAGGGTCCTGGGATGGAGCCCTGAGTCGGGCTCTGCGCTCAGCCGAGGAATCGGCTTGTGGATTCTCCCTCTCCTTCTCCCTCTGCCACCCCGCACTCCAGCTCCCTCCCTCTCAAATAATCTTTTAAAAAAATAAAAATAAAACCCCAAAATATTAAAGAAAAACGTTTAACTCTTAAAAATACAGAAATGGACCAAGTCAGCCTAAGGACAAATATTAGTAAGAGCATGGGAGGAAGACCGTTGTGGGGGAGGGTGACCCTGTCCCTGCCCCCTCTGCCCGAGGACCATGGGGGTGCACGGGCATAGCCCTCCGTGCGCAGCGTAACTGTCCCCATTTCACGGTGACGAAAGGGAAGCACAGAAGTCTACCGCCAAGGTTGCACACGAAGTAGATGACCTTGGGACTGGAATCAAGGTCACTCTGAGGCCAAAGCCCATGCTCTGGCCTGTGACACCACACCGCTCCCCTCGCAGCAGGGTGGGGTCTGTGCAGGATCTCCAGTGTCTTCTGAGCCTCACAACAAACCTGAGGGCACCGATCTCCGTTGTCTCATCTGAGTTGCCACTGCCCTGGAAAGTTGTGGCTTTTTATCTAGTACCAACCAACTCCTTATGCTTCCCCATTCATCTCTGGGTCAAAGAAAGCACACAGCTAGCAGTGATATTTGCCTCCATACGGTATTAGTAATTTTCATCACATTTTAAATACTACTAGATCATTCAGGCCACATATCTACGTAATCTTAAAAATTATTTTCCAATTAAAACTTAGTATTTGCTTAGTAAGAGTCTTTCACGTGCCCACATGCAGCTCACCTCCCCACCAAAAGGTTAAGTTTCCATGGCAAACTGCAACACACAATGGAATATATGAAGAATTTCCAAATGCATTATGTATTACCCATACAATTACAGCAGATAAACTGACATCCTCTGCTGTTAACAGTTTAGAAAATCAACTATAGGATGGATAGTAAAATGTATGTGTTTTTCTTTATTCCCTAACTCCATCAAAAGACTGAGAATGGAGCCCACTAGCAGGAGTCGGAGGAGGGGGAAATGGACACAGGTTGCTAGAGGGTCCCCTCCCCGGTCTTGAACTGGAGGGGGGCAGTGACCCGGAGAGGAGACTGGGGACGGATGTCAGGTATTCACGTGTCCAACATTTTCTCCTCGTCTTTGTCACCTACCTTCGCTTGTTCGAGAAGCAAGGGTTCTGACATCTAGTGAGCTTTTCCTTCTGTCTTTATGTTTGCCTGACTGATGATCTGTGGAAACAATTAAACTATAAATCACCTCTTCAAAAGGATTTTAACAACGTATTAGGAAAATTACAGGTCTAAAATTTTTAAATAACAAAATTTATGATTTAGAACACCAATTAAGAAGACACAAAAATCAACAGAGTGCCCAGAGATGATGACTTTGTTTGACCAATGAGGTTTTAAGGGGGGGAGGGGGGAGGAGGGGGTGACTTTCTCAAAATGTCCCAACTGGTACAGTCTTAAACAAGTGCTTTACAGGTTCCAGATTACATAATCACAGAGTCCTGTGATGTAAAGTAAAAACTAGAAGAAATCAACTCAGGAAAATTTTTCCTATTACACTTCTATATAATCAAGTAAAATGGTGAAAAAATTTTGATTGTCACCCATCCTTGCCCCAAAGGGAAAAAAATTTTTTTTTTACAGTACACGTTTTAAAATGTCCCAGGGAAGAATGTATCTCTCTTTTCAAGCATGGTATAGAGAACACTAGTTTGGAGTCTATTTCAAATGACAGTTTGTCTTTCTCCCCGCTGCCCCCACCTCCTGTGAGCGGGGCCACTGCTCTTCCAGGCTCCCAAGAGGGGCGGTCTTTGACTCCTCTCTCCCCCTGACCCCATGCCAATCAATGACAAGGCAGAGCTGACTTTCCTTCCAGCCCCCTCCTCCGGGCACCTGCTGGGTGTTACACATACTGCTGAGCCTCTCCAACCTGTCCCCATCTCACAGACGTCGAAACCGGGCGCTGCCCTGCTGATGAGCAATCACCGAGCCGGCGCGCTCGCTGAGCCTCCCACCCGCGGGCTACATCTGCTCAGCTCCTTGTTGCTACATCGGAAGGAAACAGTTCAGTTCTTACTTGACTTGACTATGGTACTAGACACACTGACCAGTCTTTCTGGAAACTCCTGGTTCTCCATCTGCCCCTTTACTCTTCCTTCCTAACTTCCCTCTTTCTCAGCCCCCCTCTTCGTGGTTCCCCTCTCCTTGGTCCCAAGGTTTTGTCCTTAGCTCTTCTGGTCTTCCCAGACAAAGCATCTCCTTGGGAGATCTCATTTCTTCTTGCAGCTTTAACTAGCTGCTGTGTTGCTGTCTCATCCCAGGCTTCTCCTGAGAGCCAGACTCCTATCTCAACTGGCCACCAGCCCCCTCCCGTCGGACACCCCAGGCACTTCCAGCGCACTCATCATCTTCCCCCAGATCTGCTGAAGTTGGAAACAAGTCATACACTTCTCCCTTCTTCTCCCTCAACTGCCCAGCTCGATCTACAGATTTTATCTCCTAACTAGGTCTTCAATCTACTCCTGCTCTGTCCCTGTCCTAGCTCAGACACTCACCATCCTCCTCTGGATTAGAATGACAGCCTCCCTCACTGGTACCACGGTCCCCAACCTTGTCCCCTTCATTCCATTCTCTGTGGGCAGCATGGGTCAAAGTACTGCAGCTCAAACCGATCTGCTTCCTGGCTGACAGTCAAGGACAGGACAGTCCCGCCGTATTCTGTCCAGATGCTCACTCCCTCAAAGTGGAACATCCCCCCACCCCCCTCGAGCCAGAAACAGACCCTGGCCTGTCTCCTTCCTCTGAGCTCCGTGGAGGTTACATCCCCACAGCCACCTGGTAAGACGGCACTGAACATACGAGGTGGCTCTCGCATGCTTCTCCCTTGTAGCCATCCACAGACAGTCACTGGGCACCTCCCCTGTGCCGGGCCCTACACCAGGCATTAGGGATACAAAGACAAATAAGGTATGGTCCGGGTCCACAATCAGGCTGGGATGGAGGGAAACAAAGGCAGGTGAACTAGGAGGTACAGTAATAGCTTTGAAGGGCAGAAGGAGTCCCGAGGAGAAAAGGCAGGTTCTCCTCTGGGAAAGGGGGGCAGAGAGCAGGTAAGTTAGGTTTTGTACACGGAGCCACGAAGAGGCGGCGGCATTTCCAGGAGGAGGAAGCTGCTTGTGCCTGTGGAGATGTGGCTGCAGAGAAGGAAATGCACTGCGTGTACCAAGGACCAGAATATGGCAAAAGTGGAAGGAGAGAAGCAGGCTTTCCAGGCTCTCATTTGTACCGAACGTTTCAAAGTTATTTTATCGCTATGTACATGCTCCATCTTCCTGCTCCCAAGAGCCTCAGTGAGGTCCCTGCTCCCCGCTGGAGCCTGGCAGCACCGCACAGACCAATCTCAAACAGCTTGCACCTGCTGGGGGTGGCCGACTCTCAGAAGCTGACTCGGGGACTACTGGGGGATGATGGCAAGCCCTGAAGGAGCACGAGTCCAGGCCCTCTCACCTAGTGAGTGCACCACAAATACGGAGTGCTCGAGGCACCTGGCCTATTAATGGACAGAAGGCTAGTGGGCCTCCAAATACCAGGGCGTGGGCTCAGCACCACCTGTGACTTCAGCTCTCTGCTCTCGATTTCCTGTTGCATCAAACGTGATCCTTCCACACCACCCACCGCTTGAGCAGTAAATCCAGGGAACTGGGGAGCAGCAGTGAGGGTGGCAGGCATTCATGCGAACAGCAGTTGCCTCCATTCCTACAGCAACGGGTGCTCTGGAAGGAGAAGATGGGGAAGCCGAGAACTGGGTGTCCGGCAGGACTTGCCGGGAACACAGCAGACTTTCAGAGAACTTTCCGGGACCCTCCCAACGGTTCAAGCATTATATGGAATGCTTGCTGTGCCCTGGGACCACCGACCTCCCAAAAGCCAGCTCCTGGTCAGCCCTCCTTCTCCCTGGCCTCTCTACCTCCACCGCCGGAGAAAGCTTGCCTGCTCCAGATGCAGAGCAGCGCCCCAAGTCCCGCCAGCGGTCTAGGAGGCCTGTGTCCCCAGGCCCGACCCTGCAGCACCCGGGAGTACCTGTAAGAGACGCTGACGCCCCAGGCCATGCTGCCCGGCCTGCCACTTGTCACGGTACTGGGGAGGCCGTTCCTGCCCCTCACCTCATCCTCTGCGCTACCCCGCCCCCTACCCATGAAACGCAGACTGCAGGTTTCTCACCAGCAGAGACACACACTGCCTGGCATGTGGTGGCTGTGCACGGAATGCTGGTTGCATGAATGACTTCCACATCCCCTGTCTGCTACTGCTGGGCTCCCATGCACAGAGCTGTCTTCTTGCCTCCCTCCCCTCCCCTCCTCTCACCAGGAGCGCTGCCCCATGGCCCTGGCCTCTCCGTATGCCACTGGACAGCTCCACGGGGCTGTTTCAGGCACCCTAGATGGACCAAGTTCAAATCTAAACTCGCTGAATTCTCCCTGCACAAACCTGCTCTTTCTCCTGTACTTCTTAGTTTCATTCACATCATGCAGTGGTCAAGCTAGAAATTGTGGGGACATTCTCTAGTGTTTTCCCTTCATCCCTCATACTGAGCTGCTTCCCAGGACTGATTATACCGAAGTATCTCCGAATCCAGTCTCTTTGCCTCTTTTCTCCACACCATCACCATGACTATCTTTACTGGAAGGGACCCCTTTTCATTTACCTATTTAAGGAAAGACGCCCCGGCCCTCCTCTGCTTACGGGATGAAATCCAAGCTGGCCTGACTCAGCCTCGCCTGTCTCGATGGCTTTGTGCGTGCAGCTCGTCCCTCCAGGAATGCTCTTCCTGTCCTTGGGCTGACCCCTCCCTCTGTCCCAGACACGGGCTCAACCATGTCATCACTGCTGGGAGGCGCTTCCCAGTTCACCCCCGCTGTGGTACAAAGGACAGTCTATGCAAATTATTGCCCCCGTCCATCTGACAGTGACCTCCCATGTTCATCTCTGGCTGCCTGAAGCCAGGTTCCGGGCTCGGTCCAGACCACCTGCAGGTTTACAGAGTGGACAGCTGCCACACTGAGCGTCTTGGCTGAGACTCAGTATCACGTGAAAACAATACAGAGGCCAGGAAAAGGGGCCAGGTGCTGGGAACATATTATTTTCCTGGACCCCCAGAATCCCCTTTCTCATGACGGCCACTACAGAAGGGGCAAGGCGAGAGCCCCCCCCACTCCAGTCGGTGTCAGCAACAGAGCGGACAGTGCCCCACGCCGGCCGGAGGAGTGCTTCCGCTGGAGTCTGGCGGGGCAGGGCAGCAGGGCCGTGGGGGAACCGCTCTGCCACGGCAGTCGCAGCCACAGGGCACACCCTCCACAGAAGGGGCGGCCGCCCGGCTTCCGGTCATTCCTGCCCTTCCTCTCCGACGGATTCCTAAGCCTTTTGGTGCAACTATGAGCCCCCCTATTTCCTCTGAGGACCTCCTCTTCTGCTTTCGAAGTGCTTGTGCTGTGTGTAAAACCAAGGGTTGCGGCTGCTCCGGGGCCTACGACGGCGTCACTGCCTTCCCAAGGCAAGATTTCGGCAGTCTTTGGGACATCAAGGTGGGTATGCTGCCAGGGACGGGAGGGAGACCTGACAGCCAGCCAGCTCAGCGGGCTACGATGGGAAGACTCCACCGTGGGCACTGATCACAAAGTGGGCTGACAGAACGGCCCAGCACGGAGGCAGCCAGGCAGTCCTTCCTCGCCTAACACCGAGCACTGTGTCACTGACTCTGCCTTCCAGTCCCCCCTCTGCCGTTTCCTGCCTGCCCGACACTGAGGTGGCACTGAAGCCTTCTGACCCCCAGAAACCGAGTTTCCTTCTCTGCAATAAAGAGGTCTTAATAACAGCCAGGCCTACTTCACAGGGCTCTTCCGGAAGAAGAAAAAAAAAAAAATCCAAGTAAAGGCACCCCATGATCTTGCAGTGTAAGGGTCACTGTCTGGCAGAGGCCTACATGTGTGGCCCCCATCCTGACCCCTCCGGCCCTACCGTTTGGCCCTGCTGACCCTGCACTTCCACAGGTCCTAAGTGTGTTCTGGGATGCAAGAGCCAAGGTCCCTCTCGGCCTCTGCCTCTGCCCTCCTGTGTGTGTGTGGCCGGTTGGGACCACGATCCACGCTTCCCCTTCTCCCCTCCCCGACTTCAGTAACTCATTCCGGCTCCCCGCTCCCTCTCTGAGCCCAGTGCCCGTGGGTCTCCAGGAACTGGCTTCCCTGCTCCTGCCCTGCCATGTCTTCCTCGGTAACCTCGAAGCCTGCGCCCCCCCGTACCCCCCTGGGCTCCACTTCGTCACGTCCACACCTAAGTTACTTGTGAATGCTTTGCTGGCCAGCAAGTTTACATCTCCAGTCCCCACCTCTTTGCAGAACACAGGGACAAGGGCGCCGGGATGCAACGGAAAGTGGTAGAAAGAGCGAAGAGATGAGTGAACACACAAACCCCGGACCTCACGAGGAACACTTTCCAAATCCATCCTGCCCAGCCCTAGGGCCATGCCCTGCATCTCCAGACCGACAAACTGCCTCTCCGACGACTCCTTCCTGCCTCCCTCTGTCTGGTCCCACCACCATCCATCCACTCCCCTCTTTTCCTCCCGTCAGCACCTTGCAATGCTTTGGCCATTGCTTTCTCTCCTCTAGCCTGCAGCATTATTGGTATGCCTGTCTCTGGTCCCTCCTTCTATGGAATCTCTGCTCCATACTGTTCTACGAGGTTCTTAGAGCTCAGAAGTCAGCACACTACTCCCTGCTCAAAAGTCCTCAGACTCCCACTGCCTACAGATGAAAATCCTCATCTCCTACCTGGCATCCAGGGATCCTTCACAATCCCAACTCCCCTTTCCACGCTGATCAGTCAAATTTTATTCCTGCTCTTTCTCAAACATGCTCTGACCTTTCCCTCTTCTAGGACTGTTTTTATTTCTGGGATGCTTTCCTTCCACACCCCTCTCCTTGTTCGAGTCTACCTCCCCTAACTGGAACCTTCCCCTCCTCTAGGTCATCATGGTACCACTAGCCCTTTCCCACCCACTACTCATCACTTCTTATCATTGCTCTGTCCCCTATGGACAGTCGCTCTTCTTTCCAGGTCAAAGCCCTGCCTGCCCCCGGAGGGAGCTGCCCAGTGTGGGCTTCAGAGCTTTGGAGCTGGCCATCAGCATTCCAATGCCAGCTCTGTGTCCTAGACGGACAATCCTTGGGCGAATTAGCCCTGCAGTTTCCTTACCTGTAAAAAGGGACCTTCAGCCACAAAATGTCTACCCCACTGGTTCACTGCAAGGCTTCAATGAAATATGCTGTCATTTAAGCACTTAGCAGGGTGTTTTATGCACAGTAAATGCTCAGAAAAACACAAGGGACGCATTCCTGGAATGAATGAATAATGTTCTGGTACTGCAGAGAGCACGTCCCTACCAGCTGAGGGATGGAGGCTCCTTGGGTGTGACGCAGAGCCTCGGGTGTGGAGCTCCAGGAGCTCGGCACCATCACAGGCCGGCCTCTCACCGGCGACCGCCTGAGGAGGAAGGCGGCTAGCTGAGGCCCCGGCACATGCTTGAGGGAAACGGGCAATTCCGGGCCAGGGAAAAACATGCGCGGGAACACAGACGTGGGGACGAGCGAGTGGGTGGTGTCTGAGGCACAATAGGGGACAGATATGAGGTGAGCCAAGTCTGATGGGGTCCAGCTACCGCCCCATGGGCTGGAGGGGACTACGGTCAGGGGGTGAAGATGTCCTGCTCGAGTACTGTCTGTAGTCTGACACTCAGCACTGCTGCCTCGTCAAGTGCAGGTGAGGCCAACAAGTCACTCTTCCCTCCACACCTCTTGACGCAAGTTCATGAATCTGAGGTGACCAGTTCTCCCCCCAGAGGCTGAGACCCACCCCAGGACGCCTGTCAGAACGCCCACGAGTGCTCAGGCCCTTCGGCTCATCAACCATACTGGGCAGTTAGGGAGAGACACGTTGCCGCGGTGCTGGGAAGATACAGTCCCCCCTGTGCACAAGGCGAGCTCGGCAGAGTAAGGGCCTGGTTTTATCTTTTCCACAAGCCTGATGACCCCTAAGAATGAACGTGGAGCACCATACCTGTATGAGTGTCAGACTGAACACATTCATTTATTTTCTCAGCCTAAAAATGAATGTAAAAGCCATTAGTTCTGATTGTCTAGTCACGCAATCGGGGGAATCTTGCTGGGCACCCCTGGGGTCCCCAGGGCTCCCCTTACCTACCTTATTGCTGCCATTGCACACTCTGATAATGGACACATAGTGTCTAATTTTTCTGCAAGTAGAAAACAAGGCGTTATTTCTCTCCTGGCTCCCCAGTCGGATGGGTATGCAGCTAATTTTTATTATGAAAGAGCATCTCTCTTTCACAGTCTACAAAATGCTCTGAGGGGAGCATTTCTGTTGTTTGTGGCCAAGGCCACCAATAAAAAGGCGAGAGTCTACAAGCATCCTCTGGTGTCTGTGCCGAACAGAAGTGGACTCTTCAGTGAAAACAACACAATTCTTCCAAGTCTTCACAACATACAATAAAAAATACTGGTGTTTTAAACGATGGACTGCATGTTAACCAACCAAAAGCCTTTCATTCCTTAGCATGTTTTCATTTTCACAGCCCTCTGTACGGACGTTCCTCCTCAGGTTCCAGTGGACGCCGCGCTCACGGCCATTCAGGGCGGCACCACAGGCCACACTGAGCTCGCCAGTGGGGGTCTACAACCACGCACTGCCGACTGGACTCCTCACTCACCTACTGGGCCTTCCACTTTTCCAGTTTTTCCCCTGGATCGTCAAAGCCCTCTACTGATCGCAAAAAAAAATTTGGAGAAGGACATAAAAAGGCAAAGATCGGGACAGAGAGCCCACACAGACCCACCTCCCTGAGGCCATCGCCAACGGGCAGCAAAACAGGGGGCCCTGCAGTCAGCTCGGCGGCCCCGCTCCGCCCAGTGCCGGCGGCGGCCCCTGGGCCAGAAACCTCCCGCCTCGGGCCTCAGTTTCCTCATCTGTACAATGGAGATGATCACAGTGCCCAGGCCACAGTGTGTGCTTAGGAGGGCACCGAGAGCCTGCCCACTGAGGGACGAGCTCGAGAAATGGCAGCACCTGCTGTTATCACCACTGCCACATCTCCTCCTGCTCTTTTCTTTCCTTCCTTTTTAGGAGAGCGATCATACACTAGGTATGATTTTACAGTTTGATTTTTGTGTTTATCTTCAGCATTCTTCCTTACCACTTAATTTTCTATGATCATTTCTAACAGTTGCGTATTTTATTGTTGGGTGTCCTGTAATTCATATTCCTAAGTTCCCATTGTTCATATTATTTAAGATAGATTCTGAGACAAACCATATGAAATTTTTAGGCTCCTGATATATAATACTTTGCAATCTGTAGTCACATGTTTTTTTGTTTGTTTTTTTTTTAAAGATTTTATTTATTTATTTGAGAGACAGAGAATGAGAGACAGAGAGCATGAGAGTGGGGAGGGTCAGAGGGAGAAGCAGGCTCCCCGCCGAGCAGGGAG